CATAAAACATCTCTGTATTTTCATACTACTGAAGAGGACATTATCCTCCATTGTTATAGTCCACATCCTGTCTTAATCGAAAATAACATAATTTAAACATGTGGTTGATGAAGAGTATAAATTCCCACACAGGCAATTACATCCATGTGATCTGGAAAAAAATATCATTTCTAGAAGATGACATTAAATTACTAACAGACTTTAGTTAAGTAAAACAGTTACTAAAAAGACTTGGTATGTTAAAAGTTAAACTACTTAAACTTAAGGCTAGTAAGCTTACAGGGAAGATCATAAAGCACAGGAAAACACTGCTGTAATTACATTAGTGATGTTCTACACAAAGTCAGATTAATTAATATTTCTACTTGAAGTATGCAAATCTTACCTGTGTGCCTGTCATGGACTTCTGTGACCTACAGTTATGTGAGTAAACATTTTTGCAAAGACAGCTCTGACTTATTAATATGTCTCCTCCCATTCCTAACTCCACTGCACAAGGCAGCAATAGGATACTAGACACACAAATAGCAAAAAAATTTGTGATCTTTCCATACCCACAGGGTACTCTTATTTTGTATAAAATACCCCTCTTTGAACAGCCAAAAGTGGATATTATCTATCTTGTATTAAAAAGCTCTCCTAAAATGTATGCTGAGTTTTTACATGTAGCTATACTCAAAAACACCAGATAAAGGAATAAAAAAGAGAGAGAAACGTGAATGAGGGGTAACTACAGTGAAATGTGTTCAAACAAAAATGCTCTGTGCAACAGATGAAGGATAATGCAGTTCAACAAACATCCTAGGAGAATGCACTGGTAAACACACTTGCAATATTCTGTGTTGCATATTTAATATTTACAAGTATTCTCTGCACCTTTTCTTAGCAAGAATCCTCCTACTCATTCATTTAAGGTAATGAACATATGATCTATTGAACACTAGAACTAAATATAACAGGTGAGCTAAATCTGATCAAAATAAATTCATATATATTTTTGGAACATAGCTGAGTACTTTACTACCTACTAAGCTTCAGAACTTCCTTTGAAAGTACTGCTTTCAGAAGGCTCTCTAAGTAAACCAAATTCCAAACCAATTCTACAGCACAGACTGGTGTGTAATGTCCCCTCTTCTACATTCTCCCTATGCCAAAGAGGAGACATTAAATTGTAAGTGGCTTACCTAAGGTCACTGGGAGGGACAGATGTTCCAGTCACTGTCTTTATCCATGATCATCAGCCTAGCTTTTAACTCCTTTCTTACTAGTCTGCTTTTATTTATGCAACTGTTTAGCTTACACACACACATTTCTCTTCACTGAACTATTTCAGCTGTGGCCCACAAACCCCTAGAGCCCCAGTGACAATGTCTAGGAGGCTACTCCAAACTACGCTCAGAAAAACAAAATCAGCAGCAGCAGGCTTGATTTCACTGCATTGGTTCTGCAGCAGCATTGAGGAAGCATTAAAATGCCTGCATAGCAAAAAAAAAAAAAAAAAAAAATTAAAATTAAGGATTGCCAGAAAGTATACGACAATTAGATAAAAGTTACTTTTTTACCTTTTAATAGATCACGGAAAACAATTATATAGAAGTCTCAAAACACTTTTGAAAGACTGTTAAAGGCCCAGAAGCAAATGTGTTATAATTCTTACGCTTTTGCCTACTCTTCCAGGGTACATTAGTTGCTCCTTGGGAATATACCATCCCATTTTCATTGCTAAATAACCCCCAGGTATCATGATCAGTTTAAGATCATCTAACCACAGTCTGCTGCTGAAAAGCATTGTCCCACTCTTCCCCTAAACACTGTGTCAGCTCTTTTGCTCATACAGCTGTGGCTGGGGTACATAGGATTGACCGAAAACTCTTGCAGTCAGTCTCCAGTTGAATCAGCGAGCTTAAACTGTGAAGAAGCAGCACCCCAAACTCCTTTACAACTTTGTTCTTCCTGTGGTTTGTACGTACCTTTAATTGCGTTAACTACTTTTGTGTATGCCATTCCAAAACAATCAGTTAAAAGTAAGAAGAAAATCCTACGGAACAAGAAGTAGCTGTATGTTTTGTTTACAGCAGACTGAAAAAAACTGTTTAGCTGGTATGACTTCTTAAGAAAAGTTAGATAGAGATAGTTACTGCAGCTGATCAGTATCCTGTTCTTCAGAAAGTTGTTTTTTGTAATTACAAGATACTGGAGAAAAGTAACCACTGCCACTTCCCTATTCTTCACATTTGATCTATTGTTGTCTCAAAGTCATAACTAAACTAAATTCATCTTAAACACCAGGAAACTTCCTAATACTTTATTAAAACACAATTTTAAGGCAAAAGTAAAGATGTTACAAATACATGTAATTTCGATACTTCTAATCACAGAACAATTTAGCATAGTCACTACTGAAGCATAAACAATCCTATTTTCATAGGACACACTTTGCGGATGCAGTTGGGACACTAAGTTTTGATACACTGCATCAGTTTTAAAAATTTATTTAATCTAGTTATGAGACTATTAAGAGGTGAAAAATTACCACAGGAAGTAAATTCAGTCTTGTTAATTGTACATAAGTAAACTGGATGAGGAAAAACTCTTTTGCAGGCTCAGTGACTTTTTTTTTTGTTAGAGAAGAACAACTTCAGAAAGGTTATTAAGACAGGGCCTGCAAGTCTTCCAAACAAACCAGTTGAATCTCCTAACTAACCTTGAATATCTTTATCTTGATCACTCAGAAAAAAAAAAATCTACAGAACACACGATGTATCATTGTATCAGAACTGGTATCCTAGATTTTTGAAATTCATTTACATTTTATAAGCGAATACAACTATTTGATTCAAAAGTACAGTAGCAAGACAAAAAGATTCATTTCATTAGCTGAAAGTCATCCTCAGCTGATGAACTAGTCTGCTGTTTCCCAGGTAATTTCTCTGTTTCAGGCCAGCACTATAAAATACCACTTATTTCCATTGCAAATACTGTTTCACTTGTTGAAACTTCTCCATTGAAAAGAAACTGACAAAAGGATGTTGAGGTCAGTAGAAGACATCTCCTAAAATATAGTTAACAAACAAACCTCTATCTCATCTTTTTATTCTAAAAGGAAAATTGCATTGCTCCCATCTTGGATTTTAACATCCCAACACAGCTCAGGATAAAATGCATCTGCTATACATTTATTAGTGTTCAAAAAAGGTGTGAGTCCACAATGCAGATAAGTTGTTTATCCCCACAAGTAGTCATAACTAAAGCAGCAACACTTAATACGCTTAACAGCATGCTTCACTTATGATCATGCTTCAGAACATGCAAAATAAAGGATAATTTTGCACAGTATATATTTATAACTACATGTGTACTCACAAAAGATCTTACATACAAAATACATTAAGAAAAAAAAAATCTTCGATTATATTCCAACTCCTTTGACACACAGCACGTCACAGACACCCATTAAGGGTTTGCCAGCAAAGTCAACAGGGAAGCCTGAAAATAAGTGCTATAACACTTTCACAGCAAATCACCTGAAATATCGCTCTTGGAGATTTTAATGAATCAAACTTACAACCACTATATTCAGAGTGTGTTTGTAAATAACTTCTTTAAAAAAAAAAACCGGCACTGGCAGCTCAGTTTGCCTCTCATCTGCTAACCAAGCCAGTACAAATGCACTCCAGCAGCCTGCTTCTACAGAACAGGAAAACGAACTTACTCACTTGTTCCTGCAAAACCAGCCCAATGCTCGGTCGGACCAACCACCGCCAGCACCACCGAAACCGGCGATTAGTCAGGAAACCAAACGAGCCGGCGGCAACACTTCTTCAGAAGGAGAGGGCAGTCGGAGGTCTCACGGCGACAGCTTTTGCCACCCAGTAGCTTCCCTCCGCTACGGGAAAGCGAGGG